CGATAAATGGAAAAACATGATTTTTTATTATTCCAATAAAGTAATTAATAATGTGTCGACAAGTCGCAGTCTGTGTATAAAAAAAGTCGACAAAGAGCCAAGCCCTTATTTCTCGAACAATAAAAACTGGCGTAGATCAGAGCACTATAAATAATAGTCCTTTATCTGACTGTATTAAATTGAACTTTTTCATTTTCTCATATATCATCAGATCCTGACCAATTGTATACGGGACCACCCCTTTCTAACAAAAAAGAATCATAGAAATCGAACAACGTGGTAAAGAATTCTCGCTGAAAATACATAAAAACTAAAGAGTTTGATAAATTTATATGGGACCATCTCTGAGGTACCCCCTTTTCTAACAAGAAAATAATCATAAAAATCGGACAACGTAGTAAATAATTATCGCTGAACATACATAAAAAATATATATTCCGACGAATCGAGAACCTCATTCTTTTTTTTTTTGAAGTCGGTTAAAAATATTCCGACGATTTGAGAACATTCTCCTTTATTGAAGTCGGTTAAAAAGTGGTATGAAGGGGGTGGACAAGTTGTACGTTATCTAGGCTGTGGGAGTGGTTATGTGTAATTTAATCATTTTTTAATATAATTCTTTTCAAACATCTATTAAAAATTACTTCTTTAACAGCATTCGATGCAGCAATGTGTCCCGCTTCAGTAGTAGATATAGAAACACCATTTTGTTTTTTACTAGACCAAGTAATTGGATCATTACATAGTTTCAACAAATATTTACTGGTTGATCTTCGGGTCTTACGATCGCCAGCGTAGTCCGAGTCTGAGTAACCAACGAAGGTGCTTAATTCATATTGTTTTTCATATAAAATACCAAGATCAGGGACTTCAGTTAAATATATCTTATTAACCATTTTACAGCATTCCAGTACATTTCATTAGGTTTATTAACATGTCGCCTATTGAGGCATTCAACATATTAAAACATGGAAAAATATTTAATTTTAACAAAGTATATGGACACAAAAATCTTAAAAACCAACCCTGCAGCACGTTTAAATTCTAGAGGTTTTACGCAAGTCATGTGAACACTTATTTTTAAAATTAGAGCATCATAACAGTTTATTGCTAAAGAATCAGTTAGCTCACTCGGATCAGTTGGATGTTCCAAAATAACATCAACTCAAAGGATACAAATTCAGGATGCGCAGAAGACTACTGTCTAAATATAGGCGGTTGTCATATATTGTATTGGTTATGATTTGATTCTGTATGCGCCAGGGATACAAATCCGAGTTGGCATGGTATAAACTGGAATATTGAGATCAAAAGTGCGAACTGATTCTTGCATCAGCAACTTTTACAACAACTACTTCTTTTCATCGTCACCGACTCATTTATTTAGCTAGTCGTCATGTCACCATATTTAATTTTTGTAAAACTAAGTAGTAAAAATAAAAGTACAGGCCAGAGTGTGATGAATTCGCATTGTTAGGTGTTTTATCACAATTACTAAATGCAGTGTTTAATGGATCTACAATACTAAATGGTGTTATACGTTGCCAGCATTTATTTCCCAGTAGCAGAAGGTAACTCAGCTTTTCACAGTTCATTGTATTCGAAGGATGGTGTAGAAAATGTGAGTGCTAAGCATTTGACCAGCACATTTAAATTTGGTCTGCAGAGCCGGATATAATTACTGGTTCTCCATCATTGGGCATATTAAATTTTAATTTCATCATGGGATTCGTCACTTTCAACAGGAAAATGGTTTCATGGCTGTTTCAGAACTATAAAACATTTTGTGCGATATTTTTTATACAAAGAAAAAAATAATAAAATATTTCGTTTAAAAAAAGTGACTTATCAAGATAGGCAGAACTCGCAAGTATTATAATTTTTTTATCTTTTATTCCTCATTCAATGAACATTTTGACAACGGGTAATTATGTTACTTAGTACATGTTGCTTCAAAAAATACTTATATTTTTATAATGTTTTAAACTTTAAACACTTAAAATTGGTGTTACATTTTAAATTTTATCAAACTCATTTGCGGTACATTTTTAGTATATTTAGCCAAAAAACGGCATTTTTATAACCATATACTGTACTGTTTTTATTTAATTAAAGCCCTGTCAAAAACATATAATTCTTCAAGAAATTATTTTTTTAGAACAGAACTTCTACAAATTAATATTAAAAGAAATTATAATGAATATTTATAATATTTCCTATTAATAAAAGCCGTAGTAAAACAATTAATCCAAAATTCGTGCAAATAAACAAGTCAATCTTATATTATTAACATACCTTATTATATGGTATCTTTTACAACATCCTGTATATGTTATTTTTAAAAATCTTGGTAAATGTACAAGAAACAATTATCATGAACAAAATTTGTGCAAATAAACAAGTAAATCAAATATTATTAACATACCTTATTATATGGTATCTTTTATAACATCCTGTATATGTTATTTTTAAAAAAATCTTGTTAAATGTACAAGAAACAATTATTATGAACAAAATTTGTGCAAATAAATTTTTTTGTAAAATTTTGTTAAAACTAATGTCAGTGATGACGCAGAGTGGATTCTGATATCTTGATTCATGGGGATAGTAATTTGTCCCCATGGATACGAGAAAATTTTGTTGATTAAGGAGTTCGACGACGGACATCTTGAAATTTAGATGAAAAAATAAAGTACCTGAAAGAAAAATTAATTAAAAACTAGTAAAAACCCGTCATATATCATTCTATTTAAGGTAAATGTGTTACAAAATGAAGGTATGTCATTTGATTATACATTTTAATTGTCAAAAACATTCTATTTGCGGAAATACATACCAATTAAATATATGCCCATGAAAATCAGATTTTACATTGAGATCAGAGGTATGAGATTGATATCCTATTCCATGGTGGTCCAGTAAATGGTTGGATGCAGTGTCCTGTGTTTTTGACTGGAACATTCTACGAAGAAAAACAGATTGTTGTGAAATAGACGATTCCCACACAGCAAGTGTAAGTGTAAAACTATTTTTAATTTAAATACATACCTGATAAAATAGTAGGAACAAAATTGGAACTGAATAACACAACCGTTATACAAAGCATGTATATAGTTTTTGCCATTTTGTAAATGATTCAAAACGAAGTAGAAACCGTTAGTGTAGTAACGAACACTGCAATCATTATAAATCGATTACAGATTTTAGTTTAGGCAATGTAAAATAGAATTTAGGTTTATACTTTTCTACCCAAGCAAAGAATAAATTTCATTATTGCCTAATAGGTGGCATTAGATGCATCCATAGACTTGTTGTAAATGTTAATCTTGGGAAGAGAATTAGATGGTTTTAAGAAACTTTGATCAAAGTTTTTCTTTTACTTCTTTAAAAAAAAAAATACCCTAGTAATTTGGTTTGTTAAAAGGTTATTTGTGTTCTCTGTTTGATTTATGATTATTTTATATATTTCCATAATTTTAATAAAGTTTTGTCAATTGTAACATGTATTAATGTTAATATTTTAAATTGAATGATATGTTAGGAAACGCTAGAGACAATCAAAATACAGGTAACATAAAAGATTAAAATTTATTTAAATATATAAAAATAGAACCCATTCCCTGAGAGCAGAGTCGAATCTACAGGTAAAGAAAATAATATATACAAGGTGTGATTAAAAAGGTAAGCATTAAAAAGAAATATTATAAAACTACACAAATAAATATTATTTGTTATATAATTTCAACACGTTAGCTGCCAAATCAAAGCAAGCTACAAGGTAGAATTATATATCAATACATTTTATATTTAGGCAAACAGTGGCATACAAGTCCTTATATTTTGTATTAACAGCAATACTTAAAAATTGTATACTTTGTATTAATCATAACAATCTTTAAATTCTTATATACTTTATTTTTATATATATCAACATTTCTATTTTGTATTTAAGCTATGGACCTTTTCCATTTTTGATTATCTCTATTACTCAAATGCGCAAATTCTACATCCGCTTAAAATCATCAATAGTATATTACATTACGAGTGTGGAAAGTGGCATTTTTCACACGAGTGGGAAATATTGTCGCACGAGGCACAATCTGAGTGCGACTATCACACGAGTGTGGAAAATCACTTTTCACACAAGTGATGTACAATATTTTTCCTACGACCACAAAATAATTTCATAAAAAAATGTAAAACCAGGTTATTATTATAATAATAATTAAAATGTATTTAAAAAAATAATCAAAAATAATCGTATTTATTTAATTTTCATATTTACTACACAAAAAAAAATTAAGAAACAAAAAAAATTCTGGCTCCGCCGAGATTTGAACGCGGTCGCTCGCCAGGACTCAAATGGCGAAGTTAATAAGTTTGACTGAATGATCTAATCGGTTATGTGTTTAACCAGAATAAAAAGCAAACATATCTTAGTTATTTTAAAAATATTTTAATAATAATTGTTAAAGATAAATATCTAGGATCTAATTTACAACAATTACAATAATTTAACAATCATATCGATTTTGGAATTAATATGGACATTACATAGATCAAAATAGAAATGATTTGTTTGACATTTTGTGACAGCTGCTGCGGAAAGTAGCATATTCGTACACGGGTGTAAAGTAAATTTTTATTCATACGCATGTGATATAGGGCACTTTCCATAGGACTATATAGTGTGATATGTGTCACTTTCCTAAGTGGTCGTGGAAAAAATTTATTGTTGTTTCCTACCCTGAGTTCCAATTATACATTCGCAAATGTCATTTTGTTTTTTAATTTGATAGTAATGGTAGGGGAGCCAGTGATACTTTTAGGTGTGTTATTTGCGAAAGGTAAAATTGTATACAAATATAGCCATTTTTTAGTAGGTCAAACATTCTTCGCAACAAAAAAATTAAAATTGAAGGTAGTTTTAAAATGTGTCTTTTTAACTTTGCTTCACCAGTGAGCAGTATTCAGAAATATAACTACTTTATTTTTTTATACATTTATTTAAATAGTATACATTTCATTCATTATACTAATCACAATGTTTCTGATCTGTTCTGATTAAGGTATCAGTATCAAGATTTTGCTTCTTCATAACAGCTATAGCCGCATTAATGATGTTATCTGAAGGATTTTGACTTCTTGTAAGAATCCAAGCAGTTTCTGAAACAAAATATAGTATTCGAGTTTTGTTAACAAGTTTATACTGATTATCTACATCAGTATTTCTCAACCTGGGTTTCGCGAAACCTCAGGGTTCCGCTAAGAGCGATTTGTGGTTCTACGTCAAAAGATCAATAAAATAAAGAAAAAAAATTAAATACTAGTAAATATTCCTAGGACTCCCCTTTTAGCAGAAATTATTGACTTCGCAACCCATAATCAGCCACAATCGAAAATTAATATCTATCCCTAACAATAAAACAAATTGAACAACTTATTGATATAGCAGCTGATGGAAACCTGTTAGAATTTTGGGCCCAGCTTAGATGTGAATACCAAAAAAATGCTAATTGTGCTGTAAAAAATTGCTACCATTTGCTACAACTGTGAAGTAGAATAATTTTCTAAGTATGCTCTTACAAAGAGTGTCCAAAGAAATAAACTTCTTAATCTTGAAACAGACATGCGGATACAACTTTCGAACATTGAACCTGATTTTGAAAAACTTATTCCACAAAAAAAAGTTCAGCCATCCCATTAAACTTAGAATTTCATCTATCTTAGATGAAGTTTTATTCAATCAAAAATACCTAATGACTAATGCATTTTTTTTTTTGAGTGATTATTATATTACGAAATACATTATTTTGTTCCTACATAAGGTTGAGAAAAACTGATCTGCATTATGCAAAATGGATTTTTTCGAAAAATATATCTACAGTTTGAAAATGTAGTAGGTATAATATTTTAGAACTTTTTATACTGTCCCCTTATTTATAAAGTGTGTCTACGTAAATTGGATACACATGGAAAACTTTTTTACTATTAGTTTTATCAATAAAATGTATTCATAAAAAAAATTGTGCTGGTCTAAAACCTAAAATACAACCATAAGATATCAAATTTTAAGAGTCGTCAAAAAAATGATTTTTGGTAAAGAGTAAAGTACGTTCATTTTTGACAGACCTGGTATATAGCAGGAACAGAAGTTAAAAATGATTTTGCCAGTTCACTCACTTCATACACAGGATTTGACAGTTATGCCGCAAAGCTAACCGAAATGAACGCGAAACATTGACGAATAGCTGTTGAAATTTTGTAAAATTAATATTTGGGATATTATTACTTGTTTATATAATTATATTTCACGCCTTGTTCTCAATGATCATAGGTGGTACCCCCCTTTCTCCGCTCTGTGGCTACGTATTTTTAAGTCTAAATACCCTCAAAAGTATTTAGAAAGTTCCAAAATAACTGGTTGTTCCAGTCCATCCCACCTCTGCTCCCGTCCCTTAGTAGTCAGATACACTCATACGTCATTCTTTCTTTTTCGTGGACTTGTGGTTACACGTAAATAATTTGCTTATCATTATTAATTAACAAAAATACATCAATGGGTAAATCAAAGAACATTTTTACAACGGGACATTCTACGACCTCAAAGGATTACAAACTTGAAAACAAAATTATAAAAAGAAGCTGGATGAAAAAAGAAGACACCGAATATCACATGGATGTTGAACAAAATGGCAGCACAAATGGTAAATAGCATAGAGAATAAAGCGTTTCATATAATTGAGATCGAACTTCACTTCAGGTAAGTTCGTTTGATCTTTCAATTATTTGTAGCCCATAAATAGATACTTTTGCCCGAAGTTTGCTATTATTTTTATTCTACGACTCGACACTTCCAAAGAAACATCACCGCAAAATTCTCGATGTCATCCGACGGGGTTTAACATTTACCACTCTCTACCTACCAAAAGCTTTTCCAACTTCTGTCCCTGCTATACGACTCATAAAATTTGATATCTGATGATGGTATTTTAGGTTTTAGACTATGCACATTTATTTATGAAAAGTAAATGTTTTTCCTAAAATTACTAATAAAAAAGATATTCTTCATAAAAAGTTCTTCATGACTTAGAACTCAAAACTCAATCATCTTATACCAAATTTTATTAGTCGTATACAAGGTTTGTCAAGAATAAAGGTACTATACTCTTGAGCAAAATTACCATTTTTTGACGCACCTCGTATATGGATCAAAAAATTTTATATCCGATGGTTGAATTTTAGGTTTTGGACTATGCAGAACTTTTTATAAGGAATACAGTTTTTTGATAAAAATAATAACAAAAAGTTTTCCTTATGTAGTTAACTTACGTAAACACGCTGTATATTTTGGTTGATTTCTCTAGGTACCTACTGTCTTAATTTCTTGGTAAATACTCACTTCTAACTTCCTGTTTTGGAGACTTCCAGCAATTCCAAACTACAGCATAATTTGCGTAATCTGTATCTAAGATCCAGTAAGGTGCTTCAGCAGCTGCAAAAATAAATAATCGTAAAAGTCGATAACTACTTATAGGCCTGGAAATAGAGTATATTTGCCTAGGGCAGGGGTCGGCAATCTACGGCTCGCGAGCCGCATGCGGCTCTTTAGAATCATACTTGTGGCTCTCGAGTACTTCAATAGTAAAAAATTAGCTGCAATATTGCCAAGGTCAAATAAATTTTAATAATCCCGTGCACACATCAAAATGCGTGGCAGATCGTATGCATGTAAATCTAGCTTTAGCTCCGCATTCTACACTAGCCGTTATATTATTTTTTCTAATATTGCCGATGTATGTACTTTTTGGCTTTAAAAAATAAAACGTTGCGCAAACGGCTAGTCTAAAATGAAAAATTCTTGTCCAGTCTTTATCTAGATTTTAGAGAATATTTGTCACAAAAGCCCATAGGATTTTTAGTTTACCCTCTAGAGAATTCTGAAGAGCGGCATATCTTGTATTGGAAGGCCATACTCCCATATTTTTTACTGCTCTCATTTCGCGAGCGCTATAGGCCGAACAGATAAATTTTTTTTAAAAACCACATTATACCTGAATAAATACATTTTACAATATTTTTTGTTTAAGTAAATAACTTGATAATTAAGGAAATGGCACGCGCTCAAAATCTACTGATGTTTGTAAATTTTATCAAAATTACCCATATTTTGTTACACCTATAATTTCCTTTGAAAATCTATAAGAAAAAAATGTTCATAGACAATCAGAAATTTAGTTATGTTCATATTCGCCAAAGGACGTATTTTTAATGCGAATACTTTATGACTGGGATGCGACTAAAGGCGCTCGGTCGTAGATCAAGAAATTCGGAAAAAATTAAAGTTGTATAGCGCTGAAAAGTCATCAAAACGTCAAAACAGTTTTTCATTATTAGCGAAGAGACTTAGCATAAGATTCGATTATATTTCGGATATGTTCACTATTTATTTAATCCTAGAAAATGTCGACGTTCTAGGACAACTTTTAATTTTTCCGAATTAGAACTACAATGTATTCGCATTCAAAATAAAATCTTTGGAGAACATGAATCGGTTTTCAAGAGAAATTACAGATGTAACCATGGGCGTCGTTACACAATTCTATAGGGAGGGGCAAAATTTTGAAAAAATTTAGAATGTTTATTTGTTGGAAAACAAAGAAAATGAAAAATAAAAGAGAATTTTTTTATGATGGATTTAATTATTCTGTGACGTCATGGCTTACTTCCGGTTTTTCCACAAATAACAGAAATCCCAATTTCTTTTTAATTTTTAAATGAAACCCCTTTTACTTATTGAAAATTTAAATTTCTGTGACATTTTTGTATAAGAAGCCTGTATTGAAAAGTTTCTGTCAGTAACATATTAAAATAAATATTTTCCAATATGATGGTCATTTTGACAGCTGACAGAAAATTTTCAACACATGATTCTTATCCATAAATGTCCCTAAAATTCAAATTTTCAATAAAAACGGGGGTTTCTATTTAAAAATTAAAAATAAATTGAGATTTTCTGTTATTTCCGATAAAACAGAAGTAAGTCACACACCAATTGAATCCAGTATATGAGAGTATGTGTCCCAAGCTTTTAAACAAATAAGTTTTCATTCCAATATCTCAATTAACAACGAAGATAAAAGCGAATGGAATTATTAAACGGTTTGCTAATAATAAAAATGCTTAGATACGCCACTGGTATACGGTAAATGGGTCTCAATGGGAATTTTGAAGCCTAAAAAGATTTTATAAAGTTCGTACATTCCTGTATGTTTTTCCATAAACGAATTAATAGTAACATATTTAGAAAAAATATTATCCAATATGGCGGCCATTTTGACAGCTGACAGGAATTGTCAATACACGATTATTATACAAAAATGTCCCAGAAATTTAAATTTATAATAAAAAAGAGTCGATTGTCTGTTATTTCCGGAAAGACCGGAAGTAAGCCATTACGTCACAGAACAATTGAATCCATCATAAGAGAGTATTTGTTTGAGTCTTTCAAACAGAACAATATTATTCCGATAACTCGCTTAATAGCGAAGATAAGGTGGAGTGGAACTTTAGTAGTAACCCTAACAATGTCACTGACCTATTTGACAGAACTGCATGGTACTTAAGTTGTCATAACAAGTCTCTAATAAATAACCTAACCCAACAAAAAAGACAAAAACTAAAATAAAGAAAAACAAGAAACTTTTTAAAAAACAAACAGAAGGTGCGATATAAAAGAAAAATATGAACAAGAAGACACAGCCATACATAATAATATAAAAAATAAAAATTTATAAAAAATAAAAATTTATAAAAAAACAAAAACATAAAAAAACTCACTCAAATATGACGATGAACACAAAAAAAAACACTAGGAAAACGCAAATTTTAAATTTCTTTTTTCTCGATAACAGAAAACATAATTTATTTTTCAGTCAGCCTATTTCATTCATTATTCGCTCCGTGCGTGACAGCGGCGCCAACTATTTTATGAACTAACAGACGATATTTGCGTTTATTGACAATACAATTTTTAATAGAGTTCGTAATTAAAAAATATACGGAGTGGCCCAAAAGTCTGGAAACGGCCAATTATCTCGTAAATTGCTAATCCAATTGTACAAAATTTGGGGTACACCTATTTTTGGACACGGAAATTCCAGATTTGATATTTGCAATGTTGCCAGATTTGCCGTTTATCTTATATTATTAGTCACTTTGGTTTTTTAAATTCATCACCCTGTATATTCAGTCATTATTGGAATCTCCTATTCAATACGAGTTCAACCATCTGTAACACTTACAATTTTATGTAGTCTGGAATGTCTGAAATAAATAAAACAATCATGGAGAAATGTGGTAGACGCATTCTACCATCGATTAGGGTACTGTCAACTCACAAATGGAGCACATTTTGAACACTTGATAAAGTAACCATTATGTTAAAAATGTTGTATTCTTTCAATTGTTACGTTTTAATGTAGTTGAAAATAGTTTCTATTAAAAAATTTATTGAAATAATTAGGCGTTGCCAGACTTATTTTATTTATTTAAGAGCTTCCAGACTACATAAAATCATAAGTATTACATATGGTTGAACTCGTATTGAATAGGAAATTCCAATAATGACTGAATATATACGGTGATGAATTTGAAAAACCAAAGTGACTAATAATTTAAGAGAAACGACAAATCTGGCAACATTGCAAACATCAAATCTGGAATCACCGTATCCCAAAATAGGTGTATCCTAAATTTTGTATAATTAGGACTGGCAATTTACGAGATAATTGGCCGTTTCCAGACTTTTGGGCCACACTGTATATGTTAATTTTAATAAAAGTAAATGGATTTGTAAAACAAGTAAAAAAATTATTATTATTATTATTATTATTATTATTATTATTATTATTATTATTATATATTTTTATTACTTTAGCTAAAACAAGTAGTATAATCAATAAAACTCAATAATAAAACATAGGCGTAAATGTTTTTTCTTCTTATTATACATTTATTTCTTTGATTTAATTTCGATTTTGTTACTGAAAATTTATATAATTTACAATTTTTTTTGTTAGTATAATTTGCAACATAGCAGCTCATTTTATTGTTTTTAACCTCTTTTTTTAGTAAAAAGTAAAATGTATACGTGTATTTGATACGCCAAAATTACAAAATATCGCCCCGTAGTACTCGAATTATCCGCAGCTTGCGCTAGTATCGCTTTTGCTTCCCCTAGACTTCACACTAATTGAATAGACCGCAGCCATGTTTTAACATGCCTTAGCGTGCTAAACGTTCTTTCGATTAACTCTGTCGTTGGTGGAAGAGCCATAAATAATTTTTAAACCACTTTGTATGTCTGGATAAAATTCACAATGTTCGGACGCTATATTATTAATGGAGAGCTCATTGTGTGCAGAAAGCTCTTTCGTATTCCAGTTTGGTATTCAGCTTCAAAATTGTCGATTCCAAATTTTTCCATTACTTTCATTTTCTAATCGGTAGTAAAAAAAAAGTATTTTTTTATGTTTTTGGGATGTAACAGGCTTAAGGAAAAACTAACAGTCTTCGGAAAAGCAACGTAATAAATATATTCAACCTATAATATTCTTCAACTATATTAGCCTGAATATTATTATTTCTATGAGATTGTTGTTCGTAATGCATATCTTACGCGTTATTGATTAAGTCGTAAAAGCCAGGGGGCAGCTACCCCCTTGCCCCCCCCCCCCCCCCAAACGACGCACATGGATGTAACAAAAGGGGTAATTTGGATGAAACTTACAAACATCAATCGATTTTAAGCGCTCGCCATTTTGAAAAATTGTCAAGCAATCTAGCCATAGCGCTCGCAAAATAAAAGCAGTGGTAAAAATGGGAGCGTAACCTTCAGCGACAAGACATGCCGCTTTTCAGAACTCTCTACTCTAGAGGGTAAACTATAAATTCTAGGGTAGTACTTTCAAAGGGTTTTTGTGACAAATTTCCTCTAATTGAAGAATTGACAAGAATTCTAAAAAAACACCCCTAAAAATTAATCTAGATAGGCCTGGAGCAAATGAAAGGGGATAATTAGGACATTGAATTGGACATACCAATTTGTTGCGTGTATTTTAATTTTTCACAGGTAATCCCTGTGCTGAGCGCTATATCTCTTGGGATATTAAGTAAACTGAGTCATTTTGTACTAACCTGCGACCTTAAAGTATACCAGCAGTTTACCTTCTCCCAAATTTTCAGAATTAAGTCTGGCAGATCCTTCAGTGGATCTAGCTTCATTAGTTCTAAAAAAATTATTGATTATTAATAATAATAATTACAAATTCAACAGTCCTATAATAAACTCGTGGAACTAGTAAAGATTTGAAAATGTTTTTTTAAGTAACAAAGGTGAGATTTTTTCATAGTATAGTAAAAAGTTAACCTCTGTAACTGGTAGTAGAGTAAATGCAATTTCGGCCATTTGCATTTTATTCGATTTTTCTACAATTTTAATAAACGCGAAACATTTGGTACAAAGAAGGAACAAAATATCACGCTAAGAGTCAGTCTTTTCACCTTTGAGTAAAGTTGAAAGTAACTACTTGCTGATTAAACTATAGGGCTATCGTATGTTAGTCTGTCAAGTAAACCTACATATAATTTTACTCAGAGGTAAAAAGATCGGCCCTTAAACTAAAACTGCATTAACTAGATACCCGTTTCACTGCGATTGCTTCGAAAAGATCATATATGTGACACACAAATGTGATCTTTTCGAGATAGTTACGCTGAAACGCAGGCCTATATTTTGGCGTATCATCACGTTAAGATTAAAATTTTAGTTTGAAATTGTTTGTTGTTGAATCAGGAGTGAAGTTTTGTTGTGGTTTGTGGTGTAAACATATTATATAGATGGGCTTATTGCGTCATCTTTTTCACTGGCAAAGCCTGCCGGGTCCAAGGCGAATCTTCCTGCTAAAGACCAAAGTCCCCATCAATATAATAAAGTTAACAATTTAAAATTATTAATTCAGTATATTCTCCAGTAAAAAGAAGAATTTTAAAGTATGATATTTGACTGGCCACCTGCGGTCTCCGAAGAGATGGCTAATAAAGACTTCTAATATTTGTATGACTTTTTTTTTCTATTATAAAGTTATTGAACTTAATAAATATATGTGAAACTATGCTTGTTTATTAAATAATGTATCAGATTATTTTTTAAATTTTTTATTCTAAATAAGTTTGAAATATGAAAAATGAAATGAATATAAAAATATTTTTATAATATAGATTGTTCAACCATCCATGAAAAATAACTTTAATTACCTTTCTCACATACTAATAAACGTATAAAAATATATAATGTGCACGCAATTTGATTTAAAAATGTTTTTTCTTTCTACTGTAAAATTGTGTGTTAGGTAGATGTGCCCTTTTCCAAATAACCGATTTAAATTTATCGTTATTTTGTTTATATGTTTTATATGTTTTATTATTTGAAGTATAGTTGTATAGTGATCGGTAATGTTAGTTTTAAGAATAATTGGTAAAATATTTTCATCTAAATTGTGTCTTGCTCATCTATACATATAGCAGACAAGCACTGGAAGGAACATGCTCATCTATGCAGATAGCAGACAAGTACTACTCACTCTGAACAGACCACGAATTTACCCAGGGTTAGTACTAGAATTATACGAAGCTTTGAACGAAATATTCATCAACAATGTGGTCACCTTAAGATCAATCAGAGGTCACGCCACATTGAAAGGTAACCGTCTTGCTGATTCACTGGCCAAGAAAGCAGCCAACCAAATACTTTTTGGGCCTGGTCCTTCTATTGTCCTAATTAAAGAACATTTCCTTGTGAAATTCAAGGAAAGATGGAATAAAACAAGAAATTGCGGAGTTACCAGGGATCTTTTAAGTTATCCTGACAACACTACATTAAAAAATTACTTGACTAAAACTATACAGAATATGCTCTTGGTTACATTCATTCCGACTGGTTATTACCAAGTACGGAAGCATCTCTATATTATGGGGTTCTCAGAATCCGCACTCTGCAGAGAGTACGAACAAGAAGATGAGACCATCGAGCATATCCTCTACGATTGCCCGACGCTCTCTCATTTATTAGGAGATTTGTGTTCAGCGAGTATCGGCTAACACAGGCCGATATAAGAGAAGCACCTCTTGGCGATGTTGTTAACTACATTAAATTTGTAGACTGGTTCACGAGCTAGGAGGTGCCTATCATATTAGGAGGGTACAGAATAGGTCTAGTGAGGCATAAGTGCCGTGGGGTAACCCTCCCCCTCACACGTTACAGATACATATTCAGCAGTAAATATTTTCGTTTATCAATACGTCCGCTGGCTCAATAGCAGAGCTGGTCAAGTACTCGAATACTTTTACTCGTATTTGGATTACGAGTAGAATAACTACTCGTAATTTTTACTTATAAGTATTTTTTATTTTAAGTACTTATTACTCGTACTTACAAGTAAATTTAAATCTACTCGTAGAATGTACTTGTAAAATACGAGTATTATTTTACGAGTAGTCGGCATTTTTTGATCATCGCATGTTAACCGCCAGTCGCTACTATCGATGGCCAGTATCACGACACGAAACGGCCTCGGTTGCGTTCGGGCTGCGGTCTCTGATTTGGGTTGGGAATATTGGGAAAAGCAATTTGTTGGGCGTTTTACGTTTTATTATTTTTGGTGTTTTGTGGTGGTGTAAATGTGTTTCCTACGAGAACAGTTAAATATTAAACGTCTTTAGTCTCCATTCACAATCTTCGTTAATTTGAATAAGGATAATTTCCTGACCATAGCAGAATTTTATATAAATAAAAAGTTCCTTGGTTTATTCGTTCATTAATTTTATTTTCTATTGTAAGCACAGCACTATATACATTTCGAAAAACTTTCTTTCCATATTCGGGTGCAGTCAAAATTTATTTTTTTTTTTAAACACATGGGGACGATTACAGTTTAAAAATTTTTAAAATAACAGAAACCCCATCTTTCTGTTTCAGTGTGTGAAGGCGTATTCGAAATAATATTGATTTGTTTTAACACGATAACGATAAAGTAGGGAAACAAAAAGATGAGTTTTTACAAAGTGAAAAATTTTAAAAAACTATATTTAATTGTTTACTGTCAAATTTACCATGTTTGTTTTATTTATATTCTAAACAAAGTTTTTGTATTTTATTTATTTTAGAATAGTTTTTTGTTTTTGTTTAGGTAAATAAAGACTATTTTTATTTAAAAATTATAGTTGTTTTTCTTTGTTTTTTTTTATAGTCTATTTAATTATTAGGTTAATTTTGTGAAACTACTCGTACTCTTTACTCGTATTTTCACGATTACTACTCGTATCCGTAAACTATTTCTATAAAAGTACTTACGAATAAAATACTTATAAATACAATTTTCGAGTACTCGTACTCGTACAATTTACGAGTATTTTATTCAGTACTCGTGCCCAGCTCTGCTCAATAGGCACATTCCTGAGAAAGGAAGCAGTTGGAAAATGGTGATATACAGTGTTAAGTTTTAGTTAAGAATGTTTGAGAATACTGGAAATTAAATTTGCACTTGGGATATCTTTCTTTCTTGCTATGTTATGATTTCTGTACAAACGACGTACAAGAAAATAAAGAATCATTCTTTTTATAAAATACACGAATACAAAAAGCACGTTGCAGCCCCATAAATTCCCCCATTGCAACTAAAACTATACTGTCGACTACCGTTTGCCAACTGCCTTCTTTCTTGGAAATCTGCCTATTGCGCCAGCGAACGGATTAATAAACGAAAATATTTCTGAAACTCCCTTTATTTAAGTGGAGATTTCGGTCGTGTTGACCAGCTGCTCTTCACCCAGAGGATATTGCCAATAGCTTCTAAAGTTGATAAAATAATGTATTTATTTATTAACACATAAAAAATTTAACTTACCAGAAAAATATTTTTCTTTTTGATTAAAGAATTTTGCTGTTAGATGAAGAGTTACTAATAGTATTTGTTGTCGCACCCCAATTTAGTAATCGTAATTTTTTTGGGAACATGCAACTCCTAGAGCTGATATGTGAATTGTGAGTTACACTTTTTTGAAGATGATATTTTGAAATATTATGAAACAATTTTAATTCATGGTTCTGTTAGTAAAATTAAAAGGATAAAAAAATGAGAATTATAAAAGCTCAATAAGCGCGTTTGTTTATTGAGTACGCATCGCGTGTATGCCAAATCGCCCTATTTCTCTCTAGTCTTCATAGTGCTAACTTCATGGAGTTAAAAATATCAGACCAGACTACTTGCACTACGACTAAACCGTAATTATATGACATTATTAAAGAACACAAACCTCGATTTATGAAATACTTTGATATTATAGAAAAAGAACATATATGTCTAGTGTAAAAAAATTTAGTACTATGACTGCCGCTTTCTACATGATCTATAGACCTACATAAATAGACTCACGTATCGGGGACAACACTAATGATTTATAGTGCGCATGTCATCTATGATTTTTGTAACCTAACCTTAAAAAAACAAATGCTTTCATGATTCCTACTTTTACTTTATTAAATTCAGTTTTCGAAATAAAAGTGCAGTTTGTTATCTGTCTATTTTCTGTAATTAATATTAAAAGAAGATATTAGGTAAAATCTAAAATCTATGCAGTGCTTTCTTCCACCTACATATTAGTTATTTTATATGCTCGAGTGTACTTTTTTAGGTTTAGTTAAAAGTTAAATGAAAGACTGACTAGCAGTACATCGGATGTACGCGTTTTATTTGTACATCGGTCTCCTTTTGACAGAGTAGATGAGCTGTGTCCAGGCCGTTGGTGTTTATTCCGGTCGGCGTAGCCAGGTATGGATTGAAATTTTCTGGTGGCGGCAAAGCTGCCACCCTACGAGAAGCGTTGCTTCGTCTTCTAGTTGTCACTTATTTTTATTATTTGTTCATGTATGTGAAATTTGCTTCTAAGGTTTATAAAATACTACAGAAAAACACTTAAGTCTTCCACTCCATCATCTGAAATAAAGTTAGGTTAGAATTATGATGTACAAATAATGGGGGATACATTCGATGTACAAATATATCGTGTACATCCTATGTGCTAGTCACGGCGTAAATGAAAACAAACAAGACGCATTTATACAAACACCTCCCACCACAGCAATTACAAATCATTAGTGTTGTCCCCGATACGGGAGTCATAAATAATAGTGCTTTTGCTTTACAAACTTAGAGAAACGAATGGATAATTCATAAAGAGAAACTTACCTGTTATTTATCATGGAGTTTACAACACGTACTTTGCCATCGTCATTTTTAGAGTATTCTGCTGAAATACATTTTCCCTCTTTTTCAAAAGAATTTGGATATTTTGCATGTTCATACCATTTTCCTAAATACTACAAAATATAATATTACATTAATGGAATATACTTCATATCAAAAAATGTATTTTAATACCAAAAGGCGTAATAATGAAAATTAATAGAAAATTTTCAAGTAGATGTTTTGGAGATTAGTTGTATAAAATAGTAGTTTGTTCAACAAAAGAGTGGATATGGACAATCTGCTCAAGTTGTACAGTTTATTTTTTCTACGATCCACTAACGAAAATCTACAAATTTTAAAAATTATTTTAGGTTATTAAGACAAAATAACTAATTTTAAAATAATCTATGACTTTTACTAATTTATATAATAAAATTAACTCGAAAAAAAGAGTTTATTTTATTAGTCCCGAACCCAGATTTGAACCCGCACCTCCCGCATGAAATCCAGATGCCCTAGTCCCTGATCTATCACCACATATAATAATACTCTTAATTAAATTGATTTCATATACTTTTATTTAAATTTATAGTTTATTTGTAAAAGATGAAATAAAAATAAAAATGCTACTATGTATCGATTCTACACGAGAATGACTAATTTTAATGTATACAGTGAGAATCTTAAGTCTTACCCCCCTAACTAACTCGTTACTGGAGTCTTGTTAGGAAAATCGCCGAGACAGGTCGATTTTTGTTTTCTACAATGTACATTTTTGTATGATTAGTTTACCCTTAATTTCATCCCTTACTCGAGGGGAACAACCCTTTCGAAAAATTTAAATGGCATGGGGTGGTGAGTGATAGCTCATTTGAAAGGGGGTTTTATTCTCTATTCAACCGTGCAAAAAATTTTTAAATTTGCTTCATTACGTGTTGATTTATTAATGTTTAAAAATAACAAAATCTCACAAAATAGGAATGCAACTAAACTAATAGTGACCTTCTAATGGCAAAAAGTCTTACTTCACGTCTGAACCAAAACCGAAATCATGCAGGGCCGAATTTTAATTCTAAGGATGAGTGTGCTACGTTAATTTCCGTTATTCTGAAACAAAAATTAGTCGAGAATTAATGAAGCAAATTTCAAAATTTTTTACATGGTTGAATTGAGAATAAAACCCGTTTTCAAATGAGCTATCACTCACCCCATGCCATTTAAATTTTTCGAAAGGGTTGCTCCCCTCGAGTAAGGTTTGAAATTAAGGGTAAACTAAACATACAAAAATGTACATTGTAGAAAACAAAAATCGACCTGTCTCGGCGATTTTCCTAACAAGACTCCAGTAACGAGTTAGTTAGGGGGGGTAAGACTTAAGATTCTCACTGTATGTACTCGCAATAACTAAAAAATATACTGACAATTAGTTTAACAGAATTATCACATAATTAAAATTTTAAAAATAATAGTAGCTGTGTGACCAAAATATGAACTGATATTGGTAGATTTATTTTTTTTGCCGTGTTCTTACTAGGTAGAACGGATATGAAATATATTCGTTCAACGCAATGGCATACTTTTATCGATGTCGGTGTAGAAAAATATATAGACCGTAAAATTTTTAACTACGACTGACAACGAGCAAAAATTTCAAATAAGTACAATTTTTAATAAAAAAAAAATATATAATGTGCCCTACACGGCTCCATAACAAAACAGCGCAGAACAAAATAGTGCCAACAAAATATTGCACTGACAAAATAGCGTAAGGACAAAATAGCGCAAGGACAAAATAGCGCAGGATAAAATAGCGAGAGGACAAAATAGTGCCAAGGCCAAAATATCGCAGGACAAAATAGCACAAAGACAAAATAGCGTAAACGAACAAGATTTGTTTTTTAATTAATGTAATGCATTGCAATAATGCCTAACAAATACTCTTCCGACGATGCCTATGCAGTGAATGTTTGGAGTGGAGCTCTGTCTCTCTCACATTTTTGGATCAGATCCATTTAAGCACGTGGCAATTAAATGCAGAATATATTTTCTGCAACTAAATTAAGCCGAGACAATACATGAGAGACAAGTTAGCACCTGATGTAAATAAAGTGAGATAAATTAACTCCTGATCAAATTATAGTGAGTCAAGTTAGCGCTTAGCCAAAAAAGAGCAAGACAAATTAGCGAGTGACAAAATATTCCAGTATTCTAAGTTAAATAAAAAACTATTTTATCTAACCTGTGCGGCCTGGAGTCATCGAACGGTTTTTGTATATGACTCCAGGCCGCACAGGTTAGGTAAATTGGTAGGTTTTTTACTTTCCTATCTGTATACAGATATAAGGAAAGTATAGGAATTATGATTTTTTTCGACCTCGAGTTTTCGACGGATTTTTACGTTTTGAGGTACCCTGAATCCGTTTTGACTATTTTCGCGATGATGTCTGTGTGTGTGTGTGTGTGTGTGAGTGAGCGTGTGCGTGTGCGTGTGTGTGTGTGTGTGTGTGTGTGTGTGTGTGTGTGTGTGTGTGTGTGTGCGTGTGAGTGTGCGTGTGCGTGTGCGTGTGTGTGTGTGTGTGTGTGTGTGTGTGTGTGTGTGTGTGTGTGTGTGGGTGTGCGTGTGCGTGTGCGAGTGCGTGTGCGTGTGCGTGTGCGTGTGCGTGTGCGTGTGCGTGTGCGTGTGCGTGTGCGTGTGCGTGTGCGTGTGCGTGTGCGTGTGCGTGTGCGTGTGCGTGTGCGTGTGCGTGTGCGTGTGCGTGTGCGTGTGCGTGTGCGTGTGCGTGTGCGTGTGCGTGTGCGTGTGCGTGTGCGTGTGCACCAAATTTTAAACTTTTTTCTAGCGTTCAATGAACTGATTAGATTTTGAGCAGAGTCGGATCATCTGGGGGGTACTTTATAGGTAGTCATTTTTATATTTTATGGAATATATCTGTTATTTACGTTTGAGGAAGAAAATTCTTCAAATAAAAGTTACTTCTTTTATTATTATCTATAATTTTTGTTCTATACAAAATTTTCCTAAAATGGTCCGTATTCGATAAATTTGACAAAATGAAAAAAAATATTTTTTTATAAAAATTGTTCAAATAAAAGTTGTTTGCTATATAATTCTCTATAATTTTTATTTTAAACATAATTTCTCTAAAATGGACCGTATTCGAGAAATTTGAAAAAATTGTAAATTTTGAAATTTGAAGGATAAAAAAACATTAAATTTTAAACTTAAGTTTTATTTCGGCTTGACGTGAAATGATTAGATTTTAGACAAAGTCGGAACATCTGGGGGGTACTTTATGGGAGGCCGTTTTTATATTTTATGGAATATATCTGTTATTTGTTTGGAGAAAAAAATTGTTTAAATAAAAGTTACTTCTAATATTATTATCTATAATTTCTGCTTTATGTCAAAATTTCCTGAAATGGTCCGTATTCGAGAAATTTGACAAAATGTGCAAAATTCTGATTTTTATGAAAATTGTTGAACTAAAAGTTGTTTGCGATATCGATCTCTATAATTTTTGTTTATACATGATTTTTCTAAAATGGACCGTAATGAAAAAATTGTAGGAAATTTAAATGTTTCAGTATTTTCGTTTTCAATGAATATCTATAGAAAAATGTTTCGAGGTAGATGTATGTGGACAATGTTTGTATATATTTAGTTTATCCTCTAAACATTTATAGAGATGCTGCAATAGGTTATACAAAATAACCGGAGAAAGCCTATAATAACTAAATAGGAAAGTCATGTGTTGGACACATCAGATTTTTATTTTTAATTAGAATACCGAAATATTTTGTCATGTGCTTTTTTTGTTCTGCGTTATTTTGTCTTTGAGTTATTTTGTCCTGGCACTATTTTTTCTGTACGCTATTTTGTTGTTGCAGTATTTTATCTTACCCTATTTTGTTTGAGCTATTTTGACCTGCGCCATTTTGTCTTGCGCTGTTTTATCATGGAGCCATAAAGTAACCAAATCCAATAAGCTCATCGCAAGATAGATTAAAGCTGAAGTATAAAATTTAGTATTTTTCTAGTTATCCCATTTTGAGATATCGTGGATACAGATACACACAGATGCACCTAGAGAAATGGCGAAAATGGTCAAAACGGATTTAGGAGAACCTAAAATGTAGAGATCCGTCAAAAACTCGAGGTTGAAAAAAGTTATGATTTCTATACTTTCCTTACTGGATACAGGAAAGTAAAAATTACAAAAAAACAGTACAATTAGATTGACTTTTAATTTAGCTTGTCTTATGTTCTAGGGCAGTGGTGGCGAACCTATGACACGCGGGTCAAATACTGATCAACGAAGACTTTGTAAGTCAGCCATGCTATTAGCAGAAATTAGTAATCAATTATTGTAACCGCAGTTTGTGCAATTAACAACGTAAACATGGCTACAAATACAAACAAATAAAATTTTTATTCAGAATGAATATCTATAAACAAACACGTAAAATGCAGTTAACCAAATATAAATAAATAACGAGGTGATGAAAATGAAGAAATCACTGAAGAGTTTCTAGTACAGATGGAGACCTGTTTTTAGTTGATACAGATAAGGAGCGTATGTCAATTTCGAATTGCAATGGGGAATCAACACCAGTCAGGTTTGTAGAAGATTTGGACTGGCTGTTAGAACTAAAAAATTTTATGTTTTTCTTTCTGTTTCTAGTGACTACCGATCCAACTACGATCAATGAAATAAATAATAACTTTAACCAAAATAATTTTTTTCCCAGGAACATATTATTGCTGGTGAAATTAATTCTTCCAGTTCTGAGGTAAATAAAATGAAAGTCTCGTTACTTTAGCGAAGTGCCATGAAGTCAAAATGAAGAAAATTATATCTACTGAAGAAGTAAATATTTTCGTTTGTAAGTTTCCAGATTAAATTATTATAAAAATTAAAATTACTGGGCAATTGTTCATATAATTATAAAACCGAAGCAAATGCTTTTACTTTAAATTTTTTCTTTAATAAATTTTGGTAATCTTCCACAGGAATTAACTTGAAAATAAATTAACTACAAAATATATTAAAATAATGAACGAAAGTAAGTAGGTACCTAATATCAAGAAACTGTCTGAAAGTAAACAACAACAAATTTCGCAATAAATATA